AGTCGATGTACCCGCGCAGAAAGTCGACGCACGTGACGCGGTTGACGAAGAGGGGCACGCAGCCGTCGAACGCTAGGTCCTGCCGCGACCCGGCCGCCCGCTCGAAGGGGAGGAACATCAGCGCCCGCGTCTTGCGCCACGACTCAAACTCGCGCCCGCGCCCCTTCGCGTACTCGCCCCCGTGGTGGAATTGCTTAAACGCGGCGCGAATCACGCAGCTGCCGTCCGGGTCGATGCGCTCGAAGGAGGAGAACTCGTCCAGTTCGTCGTCGAGCGTCGCCTTCACCGACGCGTTCGCCGCGGCCGCCATGGCCTCGATTATTATGTTGCGGAGGTGCTGCCAGCAGTCGCCGAGGTACGTCTTGTACTTCCGCTCGCGCTCCTCCTCGGTCATGGCGTCCCACGCCGCCTTGCCGACCTTTGCCTCGACGGCGACCATCGCAGCGGCCGCGACCATGCGCCGCGTGCAGCGCGCGCCGTTGCACGTGTCCGTCATGAGGACCGTGCCCTCGCACAATCGGTGCAGGCCGATGTTTTCCGGCGACGGCCCGCCCGCCGCCGCCCAGCTGCCCGCGCCCTTCTCCTTCTCGTGCTGCTCGATCCACGCGGCGAGGACGCGCCGCGAGTAGGACAGGATGCGCTCCTCGATGTGCGCGAGCAGCGCTGCCGACGTGCCGCCGTGCGGCAGTATCGAGAGCCCGCGCAAGCACACGTCCTCGATGGTGCCGTCGAAGTGCTCGAGCTGGAAGTTGCAGCTGAAGACGGAGTTTCCGAACTTGGTCGACTCGTCCCAGCCAAAGGATATGACGCGCCGGCTCGCCGCGAACTTAAAGGCGGCCATCGCCTCGCCGGCGATCGTGACCTCGCCGCGCATCAGCTTGCTTTGGCGCGCGCAAGCGGCCGGCACGCCGTGGCCCGGGCACAGCACGTCAAGCACGTCCTGTATGTTGGCGGAGACGGTGGATGAGGCCACGCCGCGCGCGAGCTGCGCGTGCCGTAGCCCGCGCAGCTCGGTGGACTCGGCCTGCCAGCGGCCGTGCTCGTCGCG